CTTCCATGGTCTTTCTATGAACTCAATGTTTAGAATTCAGAATTTCAGTCCAGAAGATTTTATCATAGTAGCTGCACAATTCTGTTTGTATTGACTAATGAATTGGTTTCTCTTAATCTTATATTTAGGCTCACTCTGGCTAAAGATGTTATGTGGCAATTCCTTTTATATGCAAAGAAATCTTAATAGTAAACACAATTATTTCTTGAGTGCCTTCTTTAAGCAGAATGCTGTGCTAAGCTCTGTAAATAATATAAAGATGAAATTTCTCCCGGCCTTCAGAAGCTCATGCCATGAAGAGACAGATACATTCATTCATTCCAAATATTGTGTATTGCCATGTAACTTTATACCCATAGGAAATGGTATATCATGAATTCTATAACAAAGATTCAAATTATTTTAGATACTATGGAAGAGACAAATTTGGATTGGAGATAGCCAGTAAGGGTTTATTCAGGACATGTTATTTGAAATTGGCAATGAAAGATTGATTGGACTTTGACAAGTAGAAATTGAGTGGGAGAAGGACATTCTGGTAGAAAGGTCTATATATGTGTATCTAAAGTCACAGGTAAACTGAGATTCAAAATATATATTTATTTATGTTATGTTTGTTGTGTTCCTGTACTATAGAATACTTTAACCCAATGAATCATAAAAGAATGCTACTATGATGCAATTATTTGAATGCCGCTCAGACCATTCAGTCTCTTCACTAGCATATAATCACATGGGAAAAGGTGATTAATTTAGATAGTTGGTTGGGCTGGAGTTGGCTTAGGTGGTGAGCTTGGAAGATAGCTGAATAGTGGATGGTGGTGTGGCTCTGTCTTACAGTTCTGTATGTCAGATGTCCAGCATGATTCTCATTAAGCTAAAATCAAGGCATCAGCAAGGCTGGGTACCTTTTTGGAGGCTCTAGGGGAGAATCATTTCCTTGGTCATTTAGGTTGTTAGCAGAATTCAGTTCTTCATTGCTGTAAAATTGATGTCTCCATTTCTTTGCTGGCTGTCAGCTGAGGGCTGTTTTCAGCTTCTAGAAGCAACTCATATGCATTGGCCCATGAATCCCCTTCCTCCATCTTAAAAGCTAGCAACTCTTCTGCTATCTACTATTAAGAACTCATGTGATTCCATGGGGTCCACCTGGATAATCTAGGTTAATCTTTCTGTCTCAAAATCCTCAACCTTAATCATATTTGCAAAGTTCCTTTTGTCAAGTAAGGTAACATATTCACAAGTCTCAGGATTAGAGTGTGGACAGTCTGGGGGGGACCATTATTTGGCCTTCCACACAGTGCCCTCATTTTCTCTGATACCTCCTGAAGGTGTAGCCAGTGGCAGAATAGAGGGCCACATATGCTCCAATTGAGGTGTCATGGGTATCAGTAGCAACAGTCACAGCAGCAAACCTGGACTCTTGGTCCACTGAGAGAGATGATGGATTTCAATTCTAGCTCATCGTGAATCTAGAGTCCAATGAACCTTTTGAGGTAAGAAATGTAAATTTCTAGACATTTTCTCAATATTTACTAGCTCTGTGCTAGCCAGTATGGAAAACATTGAATTCAGTCTACAGTCCCTGCCCAGCAGATTCACAAACTGAATTTGTCAAACTGAGAGAGAAGCAGCATGATAACAGTTTGAGGCATGCCCTGGGTGGAAGGCAGGAAAGAGAGTTAGGGAAAAAAAAAAGACTACCAAAAATGAATAGAATGTTAGAGCTGTCCGAAGAACCTGAGATATCACTTATTCATATTCTAGACCTTTTAGGAAGTTTCTTAGGAATAGACCCTACCCTTATATCTAGTTCCCTGCTTTCTCCCCCACATCTGAAACATTGTTTACCACTCAGTGGGTGTTCGATAAATACTTGTTGACTATGTAGAAACTCCGGTCAGAGAGGTGAATTGATGTGATCAAGGTGACACAGATGGTTTATAGTAGAGCTAGAGCTAGAAGCCAGTTTTGATTCTTCATTCTACCAAATTTAGGAGGGAGCTCCTGGGAAATGAACCACTTCAACAAATGAAGCCTCCTGCATGCTTTCTACCTTGCACATTGCTTTTCTTTTTCTTATATGAAATGTTACTAACCAAATCTATCAATTTAATGTCTGAAACTTGAGTCAAGAGACCTGAGTTCTGAGAGCCGGAAGAGAGAAAGAGCAATTAGGGAAATCATTTTATAAACTATATAAATGTCTAACCAATGTACTGTATACTTGAAACTAATAAGAGACCTGAGTTCTGTTCTTAGTTCCTCCATTCATTTTCTTCATGATTGAGGCAAATTACTTATACCTGTCCAAACTCAATTTTTAATCTGTCATGAGAGAGGCTAAGGTTCCTTTCAGCTCTTATGTCTTGATTTTACATTTCATGAAAGCTAATGAATTAATAAGTTTACCCATGAACCTTATGTCTCAATATCTTTATATCGGTGTTCGAGTATGGTCAGAACATCACCTCTATCAGAATCACCTGGGGTCCTTTAAGTATGCTGATTTTGCACGTGTTAAAAACAATGAATTAGATGCATAGTTGTTGATTTGAAGGGATCTCTATCAGGCCATGTTTCCCAACCCTTTTCACCTCTATAGTTATGGTACCCATAAAAAGTAATTACATTTATGTGGTTTACTGGGGCAAGAAACCCTAGACAGTCTCTTTGCCAATGCACATCTCACAGAGAAACTCTGCCATAGGTATCACTGAATGAGAAAAACAAATTGCAGAAAAATATATTCATGATCCCATTTTTCTCAACACAATGCCAAGAATCTGTACAACTGTATGTCTTCATGAATATGTATTGTACATTTATATATGATTATGTGAGTATTATGCGAGTGTAGACTTACAATATAAGAACATTGAAAGGATCATACCAGGTTGTTAATGTAGGGGAAGTGAAAAGGGAAGACAAAGGCTAAAATTTTTTTTAAAAGTGAAAATACCATATATATGCTATGAATCTACTTATGCATTTATGTAAAAGAATGTATTCGTATATAGACATTAAAAAATAAAATATAAAATGCAGACTCAGGGCCTCTATCTTAGATCCCTTAAAGCGGAATCTCAGGGATAGGAAATGTGGAGAGGTGGGTACTTGCATTATTAACGAGTATTCCAAGTGATTCTGAAACAATGAAATCTGTAAATTTTTGCATTAAGTGCTAACGTCATTATCTATAAACTCAGCATATTTGGAAATTTCCTTGCTGCAATGCAGGCTCAGCTGATCCTCATTGTCTTGGAACATAGTAGATGCATAATAAATAGCTGCTGATTATATGGGTCATTTGGAAGGCAGGTGGAGGGAGTGAGGGCCAAAGTGGTGAGACAAACAGATCTGCTGGGCAAGTTCAAATCAAGCAGAGATGAGGAAAAAGCACTTAAGAACAATGGGCAGGGCCCTCTTGCCATTTTCAGAGAGTCAACAAATGTTAGGCACTGAATACGTGCAGGACATTTTTCTATATTATTTACTTCTTAAATAACCCTTTAAAGACCCAGAGAGGTAAAGTGAATACCATATGTAGTATAATTGGGATTTGAACCCTACACATTTTGAACACTAAGCAGTTAACCAGACGCCAGGCAGCTGCTGAGGATAAGGATGATGAACACAATAGATTTTTTTTTTATTTATAATCTTGCAGCTCTGCCAAGACCATCCACGTTTGTTGTCACTTATTAGTTTACACTCCTAGTTGGCTGCCCAGAAGTAGCTTTTGTCATATACCCTAACCTGGATCCTGCCAAATAGAGATTACAGCAAAATCTTATTTTTATTCATCATCTCTAGCTAGTGTTTTCAGAGCAGGGAGAAAACATTTCCCAGCTGACTCTGCATAGTACAAGCCTCCAAAAGGCCAAGGCGACTAACTCGAGTTCCTTCCAATTCTTAGCCACCTACCAAGTGAAAATACTTCTGGTTCTTTGTAGCGTCATCTGCTGAGTGCTTTTTTCTTAGAGCAGAAGGAAGGTGAAAATAGAAAAGAGATGCCCTCAGTTCAGGGGTGAGGCAACGAATGGTACAATAAATTCCTTATGCATACTCATTTTTCAGTAATCTCATCCCTGGCGTTGGGGAGTGAACTGGAAAAAATCAGAGGTATATATTTTGCACCCAAATGCTGGAAAGTAAACAAAAACGGAATCTTTTCGTAGTCCACTAGCATTAACTTAATCTCTGGACTTGTGCCCACCATCGTTTCCGGAGAAGTAGCCATTTTGCAGATTCCGGAGGATGGGATCAGGAGCTGGCCCCTGGTACTGAATCTTATCTCTTTCCCAAACCTCCGCGGAGCGAGTCACGATAGGTAGCTAAGGCTGGTTTCCGTGATTTGGCAGCAACCTAGAGTCGGAGGGACGGGAAGACGAGAGCCTGGGATTCCCAGGTCGGGGTCAAAGGTGTGCAAAATTTGTCAGCAAGGGCTGGGCCCCTCTGGACTTTATTTTGGGCTACTCGAGCGGAGCATCTTGGTTCTCCGCACCATCCCCGTTTCCCCCTCTGGTGCCGGAAGCGTGGTTAAATAGCCACTCCCTCCCCAGGTGTGCAGCCTGCATTCCAGGCTGCCTTCCAAACCTGGAGCAGTGGTGGTAGTGGGGTTCTTTCTTGCCCACAAAATACCACCTCTTCCGCAAGTCACGTTCGTCCACAGGAGCGAATTTTAAATCGCTGGTATTACCCTTAAGTCTACACTGACGCGCTCCTGGGCAAGATGCGGAATCTCAGTTTGCCTCACAGGACGTAGGACGAATCACGCCGTTCTCCGCTCCCGGCTCCCTCCGCCCTTAGTCCCTGTTCGGTCGTAGTCAAAGCCCGGAGTGCTGGATCCAGGCCCAGAGGAACGAACGGAAAACGGGAGCAGCGCGGCCGGCCGGCA